AGCTGCTCACAGTAGATTCCACCATGGAGCTGATTACCAGTCTCATCACGGGGAATACTACATCCAGCTGCCCAGCCACTCAAAACCAGGCCCAGCCAGGTTGACACATCCCCCTTCTGAAATGTTTCTTTTCCATCTCTACTCACTATTTTCTGTGGTGCTGTCAATCACCTGGCAGTGCTTCTCCCTCAAGGTTAGGGCTGCCTGGGACTCAGCCTGGGCATAGTTTTCCATCTCAGAATGGTCCAAGGGGTGTGCATGTGATTTAAGAAGGGCCAGTCACTGTCCTTCCAGGGACAGATACACTGAGACTGGGAGAAAACAGCTCTCCTTGCCTGGGATTTTGAAGCTGCCTCCGTCATGTTCCCTGCCCAGAGGAGACAATCAAGGGATGAGAGAGGAACAAAGGGGAAGTCCTAGTGGAGTTGAATCCTTGGTCTTAGTCCAACGGATACCCAGTTCCTACAGTTCTTCCTTTAATCCCATGATTACCATAAAGCTCATACTAATATACTTCCCAGACATTTGCACTGATGAATTCTTTTTTTGCTTACACTAGCTTCTGTTGCTTATCAACACAGTGGCCAATTTAAAAAATTACAACAGCCTCCTAAGGAGGGGAGTACTGTTTCTGGGGAAGGAGGCCATTATGTTCAGGAATATGGCAGCATGGGGTATAAGGCTGAGTAGGGCTGGCAGTGGTGTTTGGTGTCGGGGATGGAAAGAGCTGAATCACTCCACTTCGTAGTGAGAAGAACTGAACATTTAAAGGTAAGGGTGAAGAATGAGAGGAGTGAAGGGGAAGAGGGGACAGGAATCAACACTATGTCCTGAAGCTGGGGGCCCTTCTGGTGAAGGAGAAGGGCAGGCGTAGAGGGGCTTTGAAGAGCCAGGAAGATTAAAGAACCAAGGGGCAGAAAGGTCATCTCTGAAGTCCAAAGTTGACCCCTTTTATAGCAAGCACCTTCCCCCTTTTCAATAAGGCTCCTACATTTAGGACAGTCTGGGAGAGTGGTGTAGAAATGGAGAAAGGTATCCCTTTTGGCTAACTGTAGGATTCTGATGTGTTTTAGGGAGGGTTTGCTTCTACTCTGTTTAGATTAGAGGAGGCGTGTTGGGTCCCTTGTACTTAGACCTGAGGGGGACATGTACATAAGTTTTTTCCAATATAAAAATAATTGTTGTTAGTTGCTATGATTGGGTCAGCTGCCTCATAGCAACTTTATGTATAACAGAAGGAAATGTTGCTGGTCCTTCACCAATAAAAATAAACTAAAAATGAGTCTGGGGAGGGAACACAAAAGCAAGTGACCAACACAATAACACTAAGGAAAAGGAAGGCACAGAGAGGGGCACAAAAGGTACAGAAAACAAAGATAAACCCCTTTTATATATACAATACTGTGTTATCAGTGATGACAAACATTAATCTATGGGTAAACAGTAGGAGCTCTTGTAGCGTAGTGCCTAAGGCACTTGACTGCTAACCAGAAGGCTGGCAGTTCAAACCCACCAGCCACTCCTCGGAAGGAAGGTTGGGCAATCTACTTCCGTAGTGAAGCACTGCCAGGTGATTGACAGCATCACCAGAAAATAATGAGTAGAGATGGAAGCCCAAGGAGGGGTCACTGTGAGTTGGGTCCAACTTGATGACACATAACAACAACAACATGAGTAAATAGATGGGTAGACAGGCTGAGTGATCAGGTATGTCTAGGCAAAAAGGAATATACTCATGACCATATATTTGTTTTTTGGGGTGTGGGTGGCCATATAAGGTTGGCACACAGTATTTCTACATACATATTTGTATGTGCAATAAGAAAGTCCGTATATATAATAGAGCTAACAAAGGGCAAAGTTATGATAACTTCTTAGCCACAGCCAACCACCCTGAGGGAGTGAGTAGTTGGACCTGTGGGCTCAGGACCATGGCTATAGGTGACATCAAGCTCAATTGGCATAACATACTATACAAATCATGGTTCTACATTCTACTTTGGTGAATAGTCACTGGGATCTTAAAAGCTTGCAAGTGGCCATCTAGATGCAACAGTGGGTCTCTCCTCATCCAGAGCAAAGAATGAAGAAAACCCAAAGATGCATGGAAACAATTCTTCCAAGGGACTAGTGGACCACACAAACCTCAGCCTATATGACCACGAGACCAGAAGTAGATGCTGCCTGGCTATCAACCACTCGGAAAGGGATCAGTGCAGGGTAGAGTGGAAGAACAATGTGGAACAAAAAATCATAAAAAGACAAGGTTTACTGGTCTGATAGAGCCTGGTGAGATGGCAAGACTATGACCCCTAGTTACCCTTCAGGGTTGGAATTGAGCTCACTCCTGTGGCTTCCTGCCAAACAATAGAAAAGCATGTAGGGTGAACATCTACATCAGGTACATACACTTCTTACAATGATCAATCACAGGAGAACAGAAGGGAGCTAGCTCAGGGGCAGGAATGCATAGGAAAGGACACAGGGAAGTACACAGGGAGGAAGTGGGAAGAGAGCTGTTACATTGTGGGGACTGCAGTCAACGTCATGAAACAAAATACGTATGAACTGCTGTCTGGAAACTATTTGCTCTGTAAACTTTCACCCAAATCACGACAGAAATTAAAAATAAATAAATAATCATGAGCCTGTATTACTATTATTTCAATAAAAATGATACAAGCTCATTAAAGCAACACTGGGAAGTGGAAAATCCCCTTTCAGCTTAAATGCTACCACTTTCACACAGCTTGTGCATATTGGGGCCCTTCTACGGATGGATTAAAAAGGAGCTCTTGTGGTGCAGTGGTTAAGTGCTCAGTGGCTAATTAAAAGGTTGGCAATTTGAACCCATCCTGCTTCTTAGGGGAAAGATGTGAAAGATTTATAGCCGTGAAGACCCTATGGGACAGTTCTATTTTGTTCTTTATGGGCGCTATGAGTCAGAATCTACTAGATGGCAATGGGTTTGATTTTTTTTTTTTAATGAGTATATCAGGCATTCCATCTTTCTAAGGGCAGTGAGGAATGCATCTATCATCTGGTAGACCCTTGGCAAGTCTCTTAAGGCCCACCTGTCTCATTTGTTAAATAGGAAATTAAACTATTTTTCAAAGACTTCTTCCAAGGTCCCTTTGTGGCGCAGATGGTCTGCACTCACCTAGTAACCCAAAGGTTGCCTATTCAAACCCACCCAGTGGCACCAGGGAAAGTCCAGGCTTGGGGATTATAGCCAACCAGAAGCCTATGGAGTCTCCAAATGAATACATAGATAAACATATGATTCAATAAGGCTTCTTCCCCAATCTTTTTTTTTTTTGTTGTTGTTCTTGTCCTCCCGTCCTGGGAGAAACCAAGGCTCAAGATGAACTGGAGCAGGCAAAGCCAGAGGTGGCCAGTGTCACAAAACAGCAGGTGGCAGGACCTAATTGCAGCTTGGGGGCAGGGGCAGAGTACTCAGTAAGGAAGGGAAGCACAGGCTTAACTGTGCTTACTTCCTAACCTGTAGTGAACAGTTTCACATGTTTTTCATCACATTTTAGTAAGTAAGCACAGGTAAGCCTGTGCTTTCCTTCCTTACTGGGTATTCTGTTCCTGTCAGGGGTTGTCAGTTTGAAGAGGCTTTGATTCTGTAGGAAGGCAATGTGGGGTTGGGAGAGAGACAGATACCTAGAAGCAAAATCTCTGATGTGTGAAAAAATGTGAAAGTGTTCACTGTAGATTAGTAAATAAATACAAGCAAGCCCATGTTTACCCTGTGCAAAAACAACAAGGAGGCCACATGTTCCGACCTCCTCTAACCCTACAAGGGGAAGGCAGGATTACCAGCAGTAACCCAAGGCCTATTACTGCAAGGCCAGACATGCTGCCTCCCTCCAGCCCTTTCACCAACTGTTCCCCC